TTCAAGTCATCTTGGCGACTATTACAAAACTTTGCCAATTCCTGTCCAGTGTCCAATTGTACTTTTCTATCATCCCATCAGAATGTGGGTGAAGTAGCACTGTCCTGGTCTTTCGGATGCCAAACAACTTGCAGCATTCATGGTAAACACCTGATTCAAAGTTACAGCCTTGTTCCGAATGCAGTTCGTATGTCATACCAAATCTGAAGAAGAAATCACTAATAGCCAAAGCTACAGTTATAGCTTCCTTATTTGGTATTGCATACGCCTCAGGCCACTTGGTGAAATAGTCCATCACCACACAAATGTACTTGTTCCAGCATGAGTTTGGGGCAAAGGACCAGCAATGTCAATGGCTACTCTTTCCATTGGTGCACCAACTTGACATAACTTCATTGGAGCATGTCCCTTATGCTTGGATTCCCTTTTAGCACAACATGTACTGCAGGTTCTGCACCATTCTTCCACATCTTGCCTCATACCTATCCAGTAAAATCTCTGCCATAGGTGAATCAATGTCTTCTTAACTCCAATATGCCCTCCTGTTAAACTATCATGGGATTGACGCAGCACAACTTCCCGTAACTTTCTCGGTATAACTGTTTGCCAGGTCGTCACTTTCCCATATGCAGTCTCTCATCTCCGGACAAGACTTATCTTCATGCTTCAACTGGTCCCATTGTGCCTAATAGTTCTTTGTCACAGAGCTTAAGCTAAACACCTTCTCCCAAGCAGGGTGCAAAACACTTGCTTTTAGAAAATAAATTATTGGCTTCAAATCGTGATCTTTCTCCTGCTTTGCTTTAATATCTATACCTGGTTCCACTTCATCATCATCAAATCCTTCAGTCACTTTGACTTCAGCTTATTCATAGACCTATTTACTTCTAATGGTTGTAAGCTTTTACCAGTCCATGGGCTGAAAACAGTGGGGAACTACTGATCTACACATGTTGAGTACATTATGTTAAACAATTCTGGAGCTTCACTACATCTTATGTCGACATGTCTATTCATACCTCATCTGATGACTGTGCACCTTAACAATAACCCTGCAGTCTAGTTTACATTGTGAAAAGCTTTGCCATAATGCTGCCATGTCCAAAAGAACGTCACTCCTTCCTGTGAGCTTTCCCATTTCAACAGTCCAATCACACAGAAATTCCTAGGTATTTTGTACAGTATATTTTGGTATGTACTAACAAATAACAATTTCATACCTCTACCTGATTGAGGTATTATGATCGATATCCTTCTGGATTAGGTTGCATAATGTTGGGTTTTGTCACTTAATTCATTTTCTAGTAGATTCTCACCTGCTACAAGATGTTGCTCTTTGCTTACCACAGCTTGAGTAGAACTTGTTGCAGGCCTCTTTCTGGATGGTTCTGGTGTCACAATTTGATCCACAACCTAAATGTTCAATCTGTACACATCTTTATGATCTGAGCATATGAATACTTTTTACTGGAAGGGGCTGTCACATGCCCTTCCAAAAAGTGATCAGTTTTTAGTGAAATGACATTAACAACAAAATGCTAAACAATGTCAAAATACAATCTAATATATATACCATTCCATTGAGACTGTGTATTGGCTATGTTTGCTGCGCTACTTGTTGATTTGCATATTCAAAATCATTTTAATTTAATGTACACAATTCTTTGCCCTTTGAATCCGAATACTCATAAATACACAGTCCTGATACATGCTGGAACAACGTTCAATGGAGAAATGGATGAAACGTCACCCAAGTTAACTTCTAAAGAGTTTGGGTACATCATGATAGACAAAAGGATCAACTGCTAATTCATTAGCATGAGTGAAGCAAGATCCACAGTACAAAAATCGTTGTAAATAACATTCTTGAGCTCCTGAAAGATTCTGTTCCTGCAACAGAGCAATGAATGCCCCTGACAAAACATAAAAATAACAAGAATCTGAGTTAATCAGGATAGGTAATACAACTGGTGAAAAACAATGTTTACCTTCTCGCATAGCTCAAGTCTTTGCTGGTAAGGTTTTATCATGATACAAGTATAGAGCCTTCCTATAATTTTAAGATGTATAAGAAGCAACAAGGACATAAACGTCAAGTCTTTTAAGTACTCAAAATGAGCAACAGGAAATACACTTTTGACAAAAGATGGTAGGGCAAGCATGTTACTAAAGGTCCAAAAGTATAAACATCAAAGTTGAAGCATTCCTTGAACTATGCTGATCTGAAATCCCAGATGAGTAGATGAAGTTAACGCTGCTAAAAGGTTATTACTCATTACTTACTTTTTAATAGTGTCAACAATGACCCAAAAATCAGAAGGTGAAAAAGATAGATTAAAAAATTGAATTATCCCAAATGGTGTTAACATCCTCAAGCATAACAAAAATGTGTTCAATATTTCAAGTAAAAAATACCTGAAAGAAAAAAGGAAAGTTAAGCCAGCAGAAGCTTCTTCAGAATTAAGGCTAGCTGTCAAATCCTGCTCTTCAACAACAAAGGTGAATATGTCAGAGAAAGATTTTTTTTCCTTATGTTAACGAGAAAATTGCGAGCATTCTGAAAATGAGCATCCACATGAATGTAAAATCTACGAACTGACAACTCAGAATTAATAACCTGAATGCTTTCATCAATAACGACCAACAATGCCACCAAAGAATCTTCTTTCATGCTAGAGGAAAACTACTCAAATAAGGCCTTAAAATAAGCAGTAGTTAATATTGACATCATGATTCACAGTGAGTAAAGTTAACAGGATGATTGTAAACAAGAAAATCTGAATTATGGGAGAAAATCAGTACATCATGTGGAATGTTGGAGAACTACAACAGATAAGTTGCTGCATTCTCTGAATTGCATCAAGGACATTCAGAACTTTGAGTTACGTCATTGTTTACAGGACGAGAGCAACTCAACAGGAAAGGCTACAAGTATTTCAGATGTAAGTATACCTAATATGAATACAAAACATTTATTTAAAACCCAATTTTGCTAAAACATAAAAATAACGATGACAGGAAAATGTCACATTTTAAGCCAATTTCACGTTCAACTATTCATTCAGTGATACACGAATGAATTTTGGAGGAAGACAAGAAGCTATTAAAACTAATATTCCATACCATACTTCTGCCTGTTTTTCTCTTGCAAAATTAAACTTCTTTTTTGAACAATTCTTGTTCCTGATATTCCATCTATAACATAATTTACAAAAAAATGTGTTCTTCGGGACTATATTTTCCGTTAATGTATGCAATACTGTATAAACATTTCCTATTATATTCACAAGGTTTGTTTTCTTTGTTTATAGTTAAGCACAAAACTACACAATGGGCTATCTGTTCTCTGCCCACGGTTCTTCGGGACTGTATTTTCCATTAATGTATGCAATACTGTATAAACATTTTCTATTATATTCACAAAGTTTGTTTTCTTTGTTTATAGTTAAGCACAAAACTACACAATGGGCTATCTGTGCTCTGCCCACGGTTCTTCGGGACTGTATTTTCCGTTAATGTATGCAATACTGTATAAACATTTCCTATTATATTCACAAGGTTTGTTTTCTTTGTTTATAGTTAAGCACAAAGCTACACAATGGGCTATCTGTGCTCTGCCCACTACGAGTATCGAAACCTGGTTTCTAGCATTGTAAGTCCGCAGACATACCGCCATGCCACTGGGGGGCTATTCACAAGGAACAACCAGTAATACTTTTTATATGTCCATATATGACAGTAAAGATGCCCATAGTGATACATTTAATTTTATTCAGATGAAACTTCAATATGACAGTCTACTTCATGCTAACAAAATTCCAGTTTCCTTTTTAGTCAGACCATACAAGTTTGTAGGAAATTTCCCAATAACAATAGTAATATAAATAATGGACATTGAAATACTCATTTTGGTGAGAGAAAAAAGGAACTAGTATTAAGCTACAGAGATTGAGCCCCCAAAAATATTTTAATGAATTGATTCTACATTGAAAGCAAATTTAATTGTTCATACATCACAAAGTTTTCACTAATTTTTTTTACACACCAGGCAATGAATGATAAGCATATAACTTTCCACCTTTTTTTTTCAAATTACAAAGTTTTCACTAATTTGTTTAAATACCAGGCAATGAATGATAAGCATATAACTTTCCAACTTTTTTTTTCAAATTACAAAGTTTTCACTAATTTGTTTAGACACCAGGCAATGAATGATAAGCATATAACTTTCCACCTTTTTTTTTCAAATTCCAAAGTTTTCACTAATCTGTTTAAACACAAGGCAATGAATGATAAGCATATAAATTTTCACCTTTTTTTTTTCAAATTACCTATTTGAAGTGGAATTTGAATAATACAAGGGTAAAAAGTAAAAGGTCAAACTAATACTGTAAAAGAAAGAATTTTGTATAAATTATGCACTTTTTATATTATAAGGAACTCATCTCCATCATATGTATACTTTTTCATAATTAATTAATTTTTTAACATTTCAGGTGTTTAAAACCACCTTTTGAGAACATAAAATCACAGTAATAATAATAATCAATAACATAGAAGGCTTGAATACAAGTTACTATAATCATCTGTATGTCAAGATCCATACAAACACAGACTTGTGTTAAAAAAAAAACAGAATGCTCAACCCCTCACTCTTCACTGACTTTATTTATACTTTCAGAAACTGATACTGAGATATCAAAGATATTTTTGGAGAATTATTGTTTTCCTATCATGCGGTTTCTCTCTTGCAAGCTGCTGAAAAATGCTACAAAATCCATTTTTCGTGATTTTGCTGCATTGTGCAAAAAAAAGGGTAAATAAATTAGACTATGAGGCTTTTTGGACAAAATTAAAATGTTTACACCCATCACGAACTCCTAATGTAGAGAGAGACATCTTGTATAATGAACTTGGCTATATTAAAGTATGTACAGAGAACAATATAAATATAATTACCCATTGTCATAGCACCAACTACGATGAAAAGGTACACACCTATCATTCTTAGCTCACTGCACAGAGATTAATCAAAACTTGGTAACATATGAATGAATACATTTACTTCCACACTAGCATCAATATACAGCAATTCGTTTTGGGGCCTAACTCCACATGTTAATGCTAGTTCTTCCTTTTAACACAAAATGGTCTACTTATTCAACTGAATCCAGTTGAAGTTTCAGAAAATAGTTTTTAATTTAACTTGATAATGCAAATTTTATGATAATTTAAATATCTAATTTTACCTAGTCTAACACCCTTTGACAGTAAAACATAAATGTCATGTTTAAAGATCATGAACTCCTTTGAAAACATATCAGCCCATCTAACTAGCATCTCTCCTTTTTTTCTTCTTTGTATAAATTTCATTAGTGTAAATACAACAAATAGTATTTCTGGTCAAACTTGTTTAAAAAATGTTAAAATACAAAAGTGCACGTTTTATTGCATTTAATTTTTTATATTACTTTATCCATTATAATTATATTTTTGACAGGAATTGAAATCTTAAAACATTATTTTAACAGAACAGTTTGTCAGAAATTAATTTTTCTCAAAGCTATATCAAGATTTTTGAGACAATACTATTACATTTTTAAAGCTGGTCAAACTCAACCAACTTTTTTTATCTTATAATTATAAAAACTGGAAAAAAAATTACAAATTGCAGAATTACTCAATACAGTACACGAAACATTCACCAAGTGTAAAAAGAAAACTACAGTAAAACATCACTGCAATATGACCTTCAAATCTTTCATGTAATACTTCACTAATACTAGCCTGTTTTTTACATTTTGTATTATACACATGTTAATCTATTTCTATGAATACATCTATTTACAAAAGATGTTCATTGAAAATCATGCATCATATATACATCTTGATAAATACTAATTGCTTTTTTGCTGTATCATTCAAACAAAAACAACTATCAAAATAACTATTTATAATCGCAACTTGAGATTCCACCTATAAACAAGTCATTATAATTACTTACACTTGTATCAATAAAAACATGAATGACTAAAATTTATCAGATTCCATGCACTCTTTCGGTAAGCCTTAGCTAACACAACAATAACTGGCTTAAAATCAATTTGTAATAAAGCATTCACAGAGAATTGGAAATTAACATATACATTATCTGTATGAAAAGCTTCAAGAAACAAACTGAAGATTCATTTTATTCATTAAACCAAGTCATGATAATTTCATGATGATATAGAATTATATGTTGTATGAATCCAGTGTTAAAGCCAAACTAAAACACATCTGTCACTGCCAAATTCCTGCATAGCTGCCTTGAAGGCTGGCTGGTAATGGACCACCTGCTGCAAAAAGTCGAGTTCCAGATGTGTCATAACAATGGGTGTAGATGGCAGTGTTATGTTCCCAATTCATTAGATATTCTTGGAAAATCAGTTCATCGGGATACTGAAAAATAAAAAAAAAGAGGTCAAGCATAATTCAAAGCTTCATTTTTAAAGTATAGATCCATTTATCATGGATTACCACAAAAACTAAATAATACATCTTCAATTTTCAAAACCTTTGAATAACTAGAATAAAATCAAGAATCATTACAGATAAAACTTTTACTGTATTAAAAAATGTTATCCATATGAAAAGAGTAAAACATACATCATTAACGAATGAGCATATAACAATAAAAGATGTAATTTAACCCGATGTGCAGGGGTGGAAGACAAAGTGGAAAGGCCATGACCTTTTACTCAGTGCCATTTAACACAATATTATGTATTTAAATGTCAGAGTTATCAATAATTCATTTTACCCATAATGTAGCAACACTTCATGTTAGAGGAAAGTATATACCATATACAATACACAGCATATTGATAAAACTGTATTTTGGAGGTTCTAGAAGTTATGTAAATACAATATGCAAAATATATGATGGACAAAAGTATGTTTATTCGTCAATCTGATATCAATTTACGGATATATCTTGATTACAAATATTTTTGTAACATGTTTAAATTTTTGTACAATAGACTTGTACATTTTACTAAATGCTTCCAACATTTCAGGCAGATACATGTAGTACATTTATAGTCAACATTCCTTCTCCAATACCAAGTGGGTCCAATGGACCAGCCCCATGTACATTTGGTTAAATTAAACACATAGTAGCATGGTGGGCACAAGAAGTTGTCTGTGATTATGTACTAAAACCCAAATAAAATGTTTCAAAACCTAGCAGACTACTGAATTGCAGAGAGAAAGCCAATGGTCAGTCTGACTTGCAATTACCTTACAACATTCATATTACATCAATCTTAATTTCAAATTGAAGTATTAAAGAAAACCCATTCTTCATTTTTTTGTGTCACATGATGCGTCTTAACTCAATTTTCTCTATTTCAGAATCTTCTAACATTAAAAATAGGATGCTGTAATTTCTAACCACTTATAAACACAAACTATTCATAATTACAAGCAAGAATCTGAAATTTGAACCTCCTGACTTCTTGATTTTCTGAGATATTAATACATTTGTTAAACCCATTTTGACTTTTGAAATTATTTGTTAATCAACCTTACATGGCTGATAGACATGTTTATAACCAACAGAGAAGTTTTTTAGTTTTTGTGTTGTAAACTATTAGTCAACAAAATTGCCATGAGGTGATCATATTTTGGTGCTACAAACACTAAAGGTATTTCTTTAACCTATTCATAGCTTACTTAAAAAGCCAGATAAAATTTAGCGATATAACTTTTGTGTTCTAAAAACTACAATAACTCCTTTTTTGGACACCTAAATTTGTAAAATTCAATGAGGCATACAGGAGATCCAAAATTCTTACTATAAATCCTTGTTTTTACATTTTTTGTTACATGTTTTTAACAAGAGTAACTAAAATATAAAAATTAACTTTTCAGCTTAGCTTAACAAAATTTAAGTAGAATAAAATGTTTAAAATTTCACAAGCTTGCCCTTGAACACTCTGTGGAATGTTATATTCAGAAATCACGTGGTGTTTACTTTAAATCTAAAGGATGTAGCTAATAAGCTCCCACTGTGATTTATTGCTTTTGATGTGATGATTACAGTAGTAAAACTGTAAAATCAAAAAGAAACAGATGTAAAAAACTTCTCATATTTATTTAGGAGGTTATTGAGCTTATGGAAAGGAAATATAAAACTGTAGGATGAAAAAAGTATTTTTACTTTTAACATGAAAATCACCTTTCACTCGGACTGGCTTCAGAAATTCATATACAAATCTTCAGTAACAAAAACTTCATTAAAAACCCAGATTGTTTTTCTACAACAGACTTTTTATGTTTACTAAAAGCTTGTCAAATTTTGGAAGACACAAAATTCAGAATTATAGTACACATTAGTATGTACAGGTTCACAGATATGGGGTCAGTCAATTTGACGGGTCCATGAACAGATGGTTATTTAAAAGTATCACTGCATTGTTAAAGGTCTTGTTTCCATGTGTAATTTTTCTCCATAAATACATGTATGTTTATTAGTCTATTAAGAGAGAGCAGGTATCTGGCAATAAACATTCTGTTTTGTGTGGTGATCAGTATAATAAGTAGTAATCAGTTGCTGTGACTGGCAGTGGTTTTCCCAGTGGAAAAACTGTTTATTTGCTACATATAATACATAGCAGACTCTAACAGTAACAAATTTAATACTGGTGATATAATTTATACGTGACTCATGTTATCAGGAATACTAAAATGAACAAAGTCATGTATTTTGTTGGTAATTACAGAACTAAAATTTTGGTCATACACTGATAGCTTTTCAAGTTAAGTGATAAAGGAAAAATATTATAAATTGAACATGAATGATTAAAATTTAATCTAAACGTCAAGATTACAATATTGGTTGGCATATCTTCAAGAATTTAAAAAAAAGAAACAAATATAATTATCTACATCAATTCTTACATGCAAAGTTGAAATGCTTGGAAAAAAAAACATTTCCAAGCCTACAATTAACAAGAATCCTTTTTATCAAAATGACAACAAAAGATGATGCATAAAATACAGAGTTAAAAAAAAGAAGGAAGGCAATATTAATGAAACCTATACTAGAAAAGAACATGAAGGTTTGTACCACCCAGCTTTTTGAAGTACTGAGAAATGCCTGATGACTGGAATCCACTTGTTTTAAGTAGTCAGATGCACGGAGGTCATAAAAATGAATTTCTCCAATCCCTGTCCCTATAGTAAGAAGGTCACCAAGAAAGCTGAGTGAACGAATACTAACTCTTTCCTGTTTGGATGGAATACTTTTTATGAGACGCAACGTGCGGTTGTCAAAAAATGAAGTATGAGCCCGAGAACCAACAACATAGATACCCTTTTCTTGCTGTTGTGCTAAACAGACATTTTCCTGAGAGAACAGAAGCTTCCTGGAAGTTTTCTGACAAAAAAAAAATTATAAAATCAATGAACTCTTCAATTATTATCTGTGACCAAGATAATATCTTTATCTCCTATATAAAAAGAACTATTTTAAAAGTAAAGAAAAACGTGGATCAAATTCACTTTTTTTTTTAGGCTATTGGATAAAAGTTATAATTTTCCTACACTGAAATGTATTTCCGATAGGTACTTGCTACCGCTCACATAAAAGGCTATTCTTGTTCAGTGCTACCATCTATGTGCAGAAAAAGTTTCACGCGTGTCACAAGACTTCTATCTCTCTTCCATTGGAATTGACTGATTCCAATGCGTCTCTCATACACATCATCATGCGTCAACCCTCCACCAATAAGAGTTCAAATACTCTCATGTTGCATGTGGCTCCCTTTATTCAATTCTACCGAACTATCACTTTGAGTTTTGGTAGAAGATGGAAGCATTGATTTTCAATTTCAGTGGAGAGAAAGGGTTGGAAGTGTGATCGGAGGTAAGTACCTATCGGAAATACATTTTCAGTGTAGGAAAATTATAAATTCCGATAAGGTACATTACCTCCTCTCACATAAATAGCTATAATCCCACATTGAACAGGTAGAGGGACCAGTGTGAGAGAATGAAAGAAGTATCCATAGGACACTCCCTAAGATGAGACAGCCAGATTCTAAGATCTGATGTGGGGAACCTCACCACTTCTGAACCAGGTATAATCTTCACCCATCGTAGAAAGATGTCACACATATGGGTGGAAAACTGAGGTGCACATCCAATTGGGAGAGAACTATGGCAGGAAAGTGATCCGAGCCACATGACCAACCTCCCTCATAATGATAAGAAAATGATCACTGCCCCATGGGTCACTGTCAACCATCCAAAAAAAAGCAAGTGAAAAGTGAAGGGGAGCAAATTGAGAGATCAATGGCAGTTAAAGACTGACTAGGTACATAAAAATAAATATATGTTCCAGTATTGAAGAGAGAAAGGTTGTGATCCTAGAGCATACGTTCTATGGAACGACCTCTCCCATCAATATCAGCACCACCCCAGAAGGGAATGTGTCCATTAAAGTCTCCCAGAAGTAAAAATGGAGTTGGCAACTAGTCAACAAGAGCATCAAGGTTCGATTGATCATAAGTCTCCCATGGAGACAGATAGAGAAAACAAACAGTGATGGTACAACCCAAGGAAACACAGATGGCTACGTCTTCCAAGGGTGTATCGAGGGACACAGATAAGGAGGGCACATGCTGGTCTACCAGCAGTGCCATCCCCTCTGTGCACCCGCCTATCACACAACCTGTCATTCTGGTACAAAAAAAACTGTTGAAAGGTGACTGTATTGGCAGAAATGTTTCCTATAATGAGAGACACATGGGATGATAGGAGTCAATCAAGGCCTTAATATCATCGAGATTAGAACGAAAACTTTGACAGTTCCACTGTATCAAAGTGGCCATTTTTATGTAAGTTTAGGAAAACAGGGTGGAGAACCCTTCGGTTTACGACTACGCCATCTTTCTTTACTAGATGGAGGTCGATTGACCTCCATGGATCCTGCCCTTGATTGAGCGGGCAGATCTCTGTCATCAGAGTGAGAATCCAATGACTGAGGACATAATCGAATGATCATCCTGCATTTAGGGCCCAAAGAAAGACCCGAGCAGATACCAGAGGCTGGTGCCCAAGGAGGTTGACCCAAGCAGTCACTAGAAGGAATAGTGGGGACAGAGATCGAAGTAGACATAGACCTATCAACTCTATTATCCATGGAGGGCAGAGAACACCTCACATGGTGTTAAAAAGACTCAGATGGAGGCCCAGAAAGGTCCGTCTGCACTCCCACTGTAGCATATGTCCGAGATGGAGTAGGGAACAATAGCTTCTGAGCCTCTGGATAAGAAATGTTGTGAACAGTCTTGAAATGCTGTACCTCTTTCTCCTCCACCCACTGAGGGCAAGACCTAAAGTAAGAGGGGTGAGAACCACTACAATTAACACAGTGAGGGTCCAGTTTGCATTCGAAGGCATCGTGGTCCTTGCCACCACAACAAGCACACATCACAGAACAATGACAAGATATCTTCAATTGACCAAACCGCTGGCGCTGAAAACATCGGAGAGGGTTGGAAATATAGGGCCGTACCTTACAGTTCAAATAACTTGCCTTAACAGTGGCCGTTGGACATGGTGATGAAAATGTCAAAATAAGAACTGAGGTTGGCACCATAATACCATCTTGACGAGTGGAGATCCTTCGAACTGCTGAAATTCCTTGGCTGGAGAAACCAGCAAGAATCTCTGACTCGGGAATAGACTTCAAGTCCCTCTCGACAATAACTCCTCGTGGGGGAATTCAAAGAAGCATGGGAAGTAACCTCAATGGGTATATCCCCAATGGCCTTTGAATTCAAGAGGAGTTCACTGTGCTTAGCTGTGGATGTTTCAACCAAGAACAGAGCTTCTTAACTGACTTTGGAGAGCCAGCAAGCCCCTCTAAGCCCTTCTGAATAAAAAAGGGAGACATTTGCCCTAAAGATTTATCGGATAGTGAATGCAAGATTAGAAAGTGAGATACAAGTCCACTATGTGGTGGAGACTGCTGTACAAAGTCTTATAGGTGTGGTCGTTTACCGATTAGCAGAGATTTTACACATTTTTATTTGGATTGGGGGATCCATAATAAAGGAGAAAGATTCAGTGCCCACTGACACCACCTGCCATGGAGTCCTACGAAGGGACACACTACAATGCCAAA